GGAGCAGGACCGTGCTTCATACTGTCATCAACACAATGTATATATATATGAGCAATCACTCAGGCCATCCATTATCAACACTCAACATCAATATCAATTAATGAATAGTTCTATTACAGACATCAGACTGTGAAGGACATCCTCATGTCTGACGATTACACAACTCAGCGCAATTGTCTGTCTGGGAAACAGTCTCTGGATAATTCTTTCCTTCTGTACCAACTAGAATATACCAACCCAGGATATTTCAATAATTGTAATTTCTATTTTTCTTATTTTTACATATTTCGTTTAGGCATGTGTTTAGTCATTTTGTTTTTGCAATGTTTGGTGTTTATTTTATTTTCAACTTATTCATTGAATATACATCAAAATAAAGTGTTATATAGTGCTTTCGATGTATTCTTTGAAAATGCATTTATATAAAGTGCACTTAACAATTAATCAAAGATACATTTTGAAAAATTTTATATTGTGAAGGACAGAAAACATACGTATCATTCATGAAAGGATAAATACTTTTTTGATTAGCACCACATCAGCATATTTGCATCTCTTTCATATACGATTCTATGAGCCTTACAAGTGTGAAATCAGATTAAATCTTTGAAGCTAGTTATTAAGACATACATCCACAACTGTCGCATTTTGTCTCCACTACACCACCAAGCAAAGAATTTCAGAAACAAACAATGCCCAAAAGAATATTTTCATCAATAAAGAAAGTGTTAGAACAATAATAATTACGGATGTCATGATACATAAGTTTCATGAATCGATACATATCACAATACCCATGTCACGATTCTATACGTATTGCGATACCTATTTTCGCGGCATTATTGCATAAATTTAGTTACATTTTGAAATATAATATTTCACATATTATAATTGTCCATGAAAAGATCAGCATTTTTTATTCTCAGAGATTAAAAAGTACTAATTTCCCATCTTTGTGCATAAAAAATAATCATTTATAACTCTCATAACATCGAAAAACATGATACAATTGCAAAATGTAAATGATACATAAACATATTTAAACTGATACTTTCAAAACTAAATATCGATACAGTTTTGAATGTATCGATAATTGTATCGTCTTAGAAAAAGTATCAATGTATCGTGGCATCCCTAGTAATAATGTCTCAGTCATACCTGACAAATTATTTGATCAGCTTTGAGCAAACCCATGTTGTGTCATAATCAGTAATCTTGATAACCACTAACCTGAATTTCTCACCCAGTATTTTCAAAACTATATATTTCACCATTACTCATAGATGGCACCTTGGAATAACAAGGCTGTTCACCATCAACTTTGACATACGATGCTGTACACATATGTTTGATTAAACAAATGCTTATAGTCTTTGAAAAAAAAGGTTCCGTATAGAAGCAAAAACTCCATTTAAATTTAAATGGAGCCCCATTGAGGTGGGTGATTCAGAGGAAATTTAGACTTGCTTCATTGAGGGCTTCTGCATTGCACAATAGGCTGGGTGGTATGAACAATGTGGTTCACGGAATGTGAGACAGACTATAGGTAATGCTCTTGCATTGGTTTTCCAGGATTTTTACAAAGCTTTGTAAACATGCAAGTCATGATTACTCACAACACATTTGGAGGGCATTTTCTAAATTTGGAAGCTTTCCTTAATACAGTTTGATAGGTTGAATTATTACTAATTCATTTAATTATAAAGCTTCATAATTTTTTTTAACAAGCTGAGGACGCTCAGTATTTAAAAATTAGTGAACTATAGATATTCAAGGTGAGATTCGATTTCCTTAGTGAATTTACTGCTTCAGTTATTATTTGAATTTTTTTCTTAAAGTTTACTCAAAGCATCAGGAATATATTTTAACCTGATATTTCCTTTCTATTCAAATCTTGAAATTCATCGGTTAAAACAGGATATTCTTGATGTCTCGAGATTACCTACACAATCTACAACTACAAGACAATTATATTGTAAATGTGCAGTGAAATGTTACTACTATGTTTTTAAAATTTCTGGTTGTTATCCTTTTTTATTCCTGCATAAATTTTAACACATTATTCATGATATTTGGTTCATTAACATGCAAAGAAAGCTCTATGAAGTTCTGAGTTAGAACGGCTCTTTTCGAGCTAATGCTTATTGAAAGAGGCAACTGGCAAGACCTGTGATGGTGACGCCTGCAGATTGGGTCAATACAAGACATCATACCCCAGTTGAGTAGAGTAATCATGAAGGCTATCACTGGTTTGTGTGGTCCACAGTTCATTAATTGTGCGAGTGGGTGAGTGAGTTAGTTAAGTTTTATGACACTGTTAGCAATATTCCAGCAATACCATGGTGGGGGACACGAGAAATGGGCTTCACACATTGTACCCATATGGGGCATCGAACCCTCAGCATGACGAGCGAATACTTTAACAATGAGGCTACCCCATCACCCCCAGCAAGTTGCTGAGTAAATATTGCTTATGGTGTTGGGAATTGGTGTAAATCTCATAATTGATAATTGGTTCATTACAACCGATCAATCATCGAAAATAATTGGTTAGCGTCATTTATCAAACTTTCCTGGTTATGTTTGTTAATGCACAAAAAATAAAGAAAAAACATGTAGTTCTCTCGGTTTTTTTCGCAAATTGCACAAAATGCATTTGCAAATTTCCCATCTTTAAAGGATGACTAGTGTGTTAGGAACATACATTTCCTGGAGTTGTTAAGATAAACTTAATCATGACTTGGAACGAGCTTGTAGTGCTTATGCAATGTCGAGACAAAATCAACCTTTTGAAAATATTGTTATTGCAAACAAGTGACAACTATTCTCTAAATATAGTTTTGAAAAATTTCCGAATGGATGTGTTATGAATATGAAGTGACCCAAATCTTCCCCATGACATAAAAAGAACGAGGCATGCATTGTGTATGTTCTGTAAGATCTCGTCTACTGCTGTAATCTGTGTAAACACACGTCCAGCAGGCAACCAGTAAATATACAATTTTGTTTTTATTAGAGTCATCCGCATTACATTTAAAACAATACCATATGGTAGTTCAAAGTAAAACTGATGTGCAACTCCATACAGAGTTATAGGACCATGAGATGTGTCAAGTTTACACGCATATATACCAGGTACATAGTTTTTCATTATCTTCCTTGCGATAAGTGGTTATTACTGATTATTTGATCTTCTGTAAAATCATTGAACAGGCTGTACTCCACAGTTTGAAAATAAACATGGGAGGTTTTAGCTGTTGCATATCACATGATGATACAGAATGACATTTCTTTATAAATATAACACAAACGATCCTAAATTACTCTTTACCTTGTTATATGTTTATTCAGCATGGCACATGTCACCCACTGGCAAGACAAGTGAACATACAGAATGTCTATGAACACAATAGTAACACCTGTTGATCCTATAGTAACACCTGTTAATCCTATAGTAACACCTGTTAATCCTATATAGTAACACCTGTTAATCCTATAGTAACGAACAATTATTAATGTTAAAGTGTGGGAGCTATGATCTCCCTCCCCCCCATAGGCGGATCCAGAGGGGGGTGCAGGGGTGTGCAACACCCCACCACCCCCACCCCCCACCCCTTTGTGCTGACAGTTTGTTAAATGACCATTGAAACTCGGGTGAAAATGAAGTGTGCACCCTCCTTTTCTCAATAGGATTATGACACCATATATTACATGTCATAAATATTATAGCATATATTCTAACATTTCTTCTTCTATAGAGGTACATCATTACTTAAGAGGTATAGTATATGTAATTTTCGCACCCTGAACTATTATAGTTAAAGTACGAGGACGCTTTGCCTCCGAAAGTGCTTTAACGCTATAATAGTTCAGGGCTTAAAGTGTGCTTTATTACACTATACATGGTGGTAGAACGAACTGTATTTCTTTTCTAAGATGCCAAATTTAATACTTTCTAAGGATAATTACGATTAATTTAAGGCAGAAAACAAACGACGGTGTCGGTGACCTAAATTAAGAATCCTTGCACAGGGCTAACTGGCGCGCTGTTCTATTGATGTGTCTGCCCCTTACGTTAAGACGAACGTTACCAGAAAAAACAAATGATAACAGTTTGATGACAGTTACGTCCGGATTAAATATCTTCTCTGAATTATTTTAATTACATCTATCATTAGCGTAAACCATATGGGGCAATATGAACGTCGCATTTCTACTACCAACATAAGTTTAGGTATTCATTGCGAACGTTACCATGTCGCTGAAAACTTGCGAGTCGAATTGACACATTTTAACAGTCGTAAAACATAAACGTAATGTGTCCACCAGTGATGTTAGCTGCGTGAAGCAACTGCAAACCAAGAAACGGGATGCAACAGAGTAGTTTACTGTAGGAGGCTGTACGAGGCGATGACAACTGACATGCATCGTGACGTCGCTTACATTGTGACGTAATGTAAAATGGTTCAATTACGAGGGGGTACGCTAGAATGGCGCAGTGACTGGATAACGTCATTCAATTATTACGTCATCAAAAAACTATACCTTTATTGTCTGATAATGTATTTTTTTTTTATTGTTCTAACAGCTAGGCATCTTAGAAATTGATATAGTTGTTCAATTAGAAATATCAATATTAGTATGTTATAACCTCTCTCTCCTATAAAAAGGTTAATATTTGATGTACTCATACATTTCATTTTATCAGTAAATACATCTGTTCTTTATGCATGTGTAATTTCATCATCTATATATTTTCCCATCTTCTTTGATTATAAACAGAAATATCAGCGTCTTGTAGAGAGCCCCGTCTAAGGCTGCGCGCCACACACGCTACGAGAGCTGCGATGTGTGAAGTACTCTTGCAACAGGTCGTCGAGCAATGGATTTTCATGAATAAACACATTCTTTCACATCGACATAAAAATCTTCATCTAATTTCAAATAGAAATATAGGTTTTGTCGACAAATGCAACAAAAGCAATGACTTTTATCCTTACCTTTTCGACAATCCTTACTATCGGAATACTTCCACTGAACTACTCCCTCGTCGAAGAGCAGTTTTGTTTTTCTTCCGTGTTGAACCTGACCCTGGCGCTTTATAACGAGGCAGGGGGACATAACTCTAAAATCCAGCATATTTCAAAGCTCTATTGAAAGGATCCTCCTGCCCTAAACTTGTAACATAAAATCCCTGTGAAATAATTTTACCCAGCTGATCAAACACCAATTGACCAAGATTTCTCTAATTCTTTTTTTTTACATTCTTTTAGTTTTCTCTCAAAATCTGACACTGGCAAAATATATACTTCTGGAAATTTGATGGGAAGATCTTTCAATCATCACTTAATTAAGGCAAGACTAAAATTGTCATAATCTGACATAAATACTTCAGATGCACCGTGACCAAATTCGTCAGAGTTCCATCACTCCGCTTTGGGTAAACAAGTCATGTTTTTAAATTTTCTTATAGTAAATCAGACTACTATTATTTCTGTTATCTTTCGTGTGCTTGCTGTATTTTTTCTGATTTATTGTATATTTTACCAAAATAAACCATGAGACATTTCGAAGAATGGATCCCAACATTGTCAGTTAAATTTGAAGGAAGCGTTTTTCTACTTTTTGAAAACTATAACATCTTTGGATAAAGCTATTTTTAGGAGGAAGTGGATTGCTACACACACGTATAAAAGTCTGTTTGTGGTGAAAACGTACCGATGAATTTCACTTTAAACAAAAAAGTAAATCAAATAAAGTGAAATTAAGATTGCGAATCCTCATAATTTTACCTTGCCATTTGAAAATTTAAATCTCAGAATTTTATTCAACTTGGGATGAAAGTTGTTTAACAAACGATCATAGTTTCAAATCGGTATTATGGGTTTGTATTACAAGGGGGTATGCACATAAAATGAAACACCGAGATCAAGTAGGGTTGGTCTAAGTTAACGCTCATCACGTACCGCACGTGCATTGGTTTCACTGTTCCAACTACTGCGCTTACCCCCTTGTAATACAACCAATATAAGCGATTTGAAACTCTAAGATCTAAATGTTCAATTGGCAAAGTAGAATTATGAGGATTCGCAATCTTAATTTCACTTTATTCGATTTACATTTTTGTTTAAAGTGCAATTCCCCGGTACGTTTTCACTGCAAGCAGACTATAGTTCAAACTGCTTCTGGCTCGCGGATTGCAAAGTCTACAAACTGAATGCTGTAAAAATGTATCAAGCATCCGAGCCTAGCTCGTTTATGTTAATCTTTTGCCTAAATAATCAACCTCTCCCGCATATGGCGCCTATGGTATCCTTATAATTACTCCAAGATCTCTTACACAGATACACTACGGTACCGCTCTTTACGCAGACGGGTAATAAAGGTATCAAATTAAAAGTTCTGATTTTAATGAAATTGTGCTTATTGTAATTACACACCCAAAACCTGCCGTGTGAAAATGTTTGGTAATGATAAGTAGCAAAATATGGACGTTATCCGTTACCACAAAATTAAATATACTCATGCCAATAATGGTTGTCACCCCCTTCAATTTATTTAATTGGAGAGGGGGTGTGGGTGGAAGTGTGGGGTGTGTGTGGGGTTGGGGTGGGGAAGGGGGTGACAACCATTAATAGGCATGAGTATATTTCCAGTTGGCCAAATACGTCATAAGTTTTTGGTCTTGACGTACTGATTTTAATCCTAATGATTAGATGTACGTTTTCTTAAATGATGCTGATTTGTTGAAGTGAGGCGTCAATTACGTGAAATTACATTTAAAAATACTTTTCTTTTCTTGTCTTACAGATTCAATGTCATGTTTCTCTCTCTTCTGTTGTGGCATATTTTATAAATATGGAAGATATATGAATCATCCAGCTATTTCAGATGTTATCTATATGTGAAAATCTTGTGATGTTATAGACTCAAAGGCCACATCCTAAAATGAAAAAACACTAAATTAACGAAGAATCGCGTTTCTTCTTTGAGTGGCATATAGAAGCTGGTATAATGAAAGGGAACTTTTCATGGATAGATAACTTCTACTGCAATATATGCGACGTTTCTGTGCAGATGCTAACAGTGTATCAAGCATGCGGACAGGAATCGAGTTGATCGCAATGATTTCTCCCACGGGGTCAAGGGTAAGAGGTCATAACAAAGAATGCTGTTTCGCCAACAAAAGGAGGTGTATCTTTCTCGGGAGCGTTGGTTTCACGGATGAACGGGTAAGATTGTACAACCCACCATACACCCACGTTGTAATATGACCTTCAACAAACACGGACGAAAAAAACCAATTTCCCCCCATTGAAATCCATGTGTCAGTCATGCGTGGATTTTCAAATAGCGATGCTTTGGTGACGAACAAGACGATGCAACTGATGTTTTTCATTCATTAGCGGAATTTAATATGTTTTGGTCCTTTAAGTACCTTGGTGATATAAATTTGTTTATAAACTGTCATAATCAGCATTCCAGAATACAATTACCGATAAACAAAGAACACAAGCGTTACGACATGTCAATAATTTATGCGACAGACGAGGTTACCCAGAGCATTTGGATACTGGAGGAATATATATATTTTATAGCCATTGCTGCATTTAGCACAGCAGTTGGGGAAATCATCCTACGTACTAGTTTAATGTGTATTGAGGTTTTAATGTGGACACCACGATTCAGTATGCACGATCTATCTGCCGGCCTGCACGCCTTTCAACACTATGTCGATAATGCGGCATGCAGTTATAACCTAATCAATAGATTGAGGGTCTTACGGTACCGCTTATTGATTGGTTATCCTGGCTCATTGACCTATTACACGTTTCACGGATGAAGCTGATGCTACGTATGTCATAAAAGATATGGAAAATATCAGGCGTAGAGATATTTAGACTCCTTTTTAACATGCGTGGGGTTGTTTTTATAAGAATTGAAAACGGCAGGGGTATGCATGTAGAGCCTCACTGCTCGGTTCGGTTCCTGTGGCCATTCGTTATAGCGCGGATGGCCTCAGCCTTTACCATTCAGTTTTGTGTGGGTTTTACATCGTCCTGCCCCGATCTCGTGGTATGTTGGGGCCGGATTACTGTTTGACTGGCCAGACGTCGTACAATATCCTTTCTTGAGTGGTGAATGTAAGACATAGATTCGATTCGACAGACATACGTTTTCAAGTGCCTAAAACAATTAAAGCATTTACACTATCTCAGTTCGACATTATACCGAAGTCGTCAAAATTGAGGAACATAAACCCAAATGTACTTTCAAACACAGCCGTCACAGCATGTAGAACGCAACGTCACAGAATTAACGTGACGTCATCACATTGTTCATGACGTCACGCCACCATTAGAAGGTGATATTTTGCCCTACTAGGGCATCGTATGAAAAATACGAACCCCGATATTTCCGAGGGCGAAAATATCGGGATTTTCATACAAACAATCAGCACGCAATGAACTCGGGTATTTGAAACAATTTGACACTGACACATTGATACCATCTTCTTTGAGTGGCATTTTAGAAGTTGGGAAGTACAATATAGAACAAACTTTATGGATAACAACTTCTTTTTATTCGTGAGTGCGACGTTTCGATACAGATTCTTGTACCGTTGTCAAGCATTATGCTTGACAACGGTACAAGAATCTGTATCGAAACGTCGCATAATGCTTGACAACGGTACAAGAATCTGTATCGAAACGTCGCACTCACGAATAAAAAGAAGTTGTTATCCATAAAGTTTGTTCTATATTGTACATTGATACCAGGCTCTGCTTCATTTCATTGTAAATTTAATCTAAACAAGGACAATGCTTCTGGCCATAAAGTTGTAAAGCTTCAACAATTCCTTGTTTAGACTTTTCAAAATCAAATTATTTCTCACAATTAAACCAGCATCGCTAGTTAAAACCCATGTCCGTTACACCAAGACTCCTGTATTTTTAATGGCGACACGGTTCCCCTGCAGCTGGAAATGGCACGAGTAATTCATTCATACTTCTCGAGGTCCGAGACCACTTGGACCAAGCTGGCTTCACTATTGAATGGATCGTATCATATCAAGATCGTATCATATCAAGATCGTATCATATCAAGATCATCAATCCTGTGAGCAGATTTGCATCTGTGATGGGTGACAGAAACCATGATTGTAGCGTTAAACGAGCCCACTTCCTTTGACCCTGCCATCTGGGTGATGCACACAAAGCTAAAGCCAGCGATCAAATAATCAAGTCGGGACCAGACAATCCAGTGTTCAACGTCATGAACATCGATCTACGCAGTTGGGATACGATGACATGTGTCAACCAAGTGAGAGATCCAGACCATCCGATCCCGTAAGTTGCCTCTTACGACAAGCATGGGTTACTGAAGATCAATTCTACCCCGGATCTTCACGGGTATGTGACGTAAAACCGACTGGTAGGAAAAATATTCTGTAAAATCAAACGTTATACTTGGGATTACACTTTCTCCCATGGCCGAACGCTATTAATACACAATGCTTTCTAGAATTAGTTAGCGCAGAGTTGGTTTGATCGCTGGCTTTAGCTTTGTGTGCATCACCCAGATGGCAGGGTCAAAGGAAGTGGGCTCGTTTAACGCTACAATCATGGTTTCTGTCACCCATCACAGATGCAAATCTGCTCACAGGATTGATGATCTTGATATGATACGATCTTGATATGATACGATCCATTCAATAGTGAAGCCAGCTGTGTAAAAGTGGTTACGCCCAAGGTTCTATGTTACAGCGGCCCCGGTGTTGGGCGTAATAAGGTATTAAATACATCTACTAATTACCTCGTTATAAGAGGACAGTAACTGACTTTATGCTACTGCATCAAAATGTACTACTCAAATAACAACTACTGCTGCTGCTACTACTACTGCTGCTACTACTACTACTACTACTACTACCACTACTACTACTACTTATACTACTGCTACTATACCCACTACTACTACTACTACTACTACCACTACTACTACTACTTACTACTTCTACTATACCCACTACTACTACTACTACTACTTACACTACTGCTACTATACCCACTACTACTACTACTACTACTACTTACACTACTGCTACTATACCCACTACTACTACTACTACTACTTACTTACTACTGCTACTATACCCACTACTACTACTACTTACTACTTCTACTATACCCACTAAAACTACTACTACTACTACTTCTACTACTGCTACTATACCCACTACTACTACTTACTACTTCTACTATACCCACTAAAACTACTACTACTACTACTACTACTACTACTACTGACCCGTGAAGATCCGGGGTAGAATAGGTCTTCAGCAACCCATGCTTGCCACAAAAGGCGACTATGCTTGTCGTAAGAGGCGACTAACGGGATCGGGTGGTCAGGCTCGCTGACTTGGTTGACACATGTTATCGGTTCCCAGTTGCGCAGATCGATGCTCATTCTGTTGATCACTTGATTGTCTGGTCCAGACTCGATTATTTATAGACCGCCGCCATATAGCTGGAATATTGCAGAGTGCGGCGTAAAACTAAACTCACTCACTCACTACTACTACTACTTCTACTCATAATACTACTTCTGCTACTGCTACTATACCCACTACTACTACTACTACTACTTCTACTACCGCCTCCGTGGTGTAGTGGTTAGAGCGTCCGCCGGGAGAGCGGAAGGTCGCGGGTTCGATCCCCGACCGCGTCATACCAAAAGACGTTAAAATATGGTACTTGTTGGTCCCTGCCTGGCGCTCGGCATTAATGGGTACGACAAGGACTGGTCGGCTCGGAGTCTGAGTGGGGTATTCATGCTTCACTGCGGTATGGTATCTCAGTGGGCTAGCACTATAAAACTAGCTTCAGTCTGGACTAGTACAAGCAGCTGCACATACACATACACACGCATGCACGTCGTCATATGAGTGAAATATTCTCAAGCACGACGTTAAACCAAATTCCACAACCACTACTTCTACTACTGCTACTATACCCACTACTACTACTACTACTACTTCTACTACTGCTACTATACCCACTACTGCTACTACTACTACTACTACTACTACTACTACTACTGCCACTAAAACAGTATTGCATAATTTTACTGCTTTATCCACTTTCACTACTACAGATTCAACCAAATCACAATAACTTTCAATTCAAGGAAAATGTAAAAATAACTTTCCCAGCAAATACTACCAACACATAATCACCAGCCCCTACTTGGAGTGTACCTGTTTTTCAGCCATGGTGCGTTGGGGTGGCTCTACCTGGTCCCTGGTGGGCGGTGCAGCGCTGCTGGCGGGTCTGAGCTACATCCTCTACACCCCCGTCCCAGATGGCGTCTCCCAGCCGTGGAAGCTCCAGATATTTATGGCGTCAGTCAAACTGGCAGGAGTCGTGGCGAGTGTGACGTAAATTTTAAATTAAAGTGAATGAGTGAGTTTAGTTTTACGCCGCGCTCAGCAATATTCCAGATATATGGCGGCGATCTGTAAATAATCAAGTCGGGACCAGACAATCCAGTGTTCAATATCATGAACATCGATCTACGCAGTTGGGATACGATGACATGTGTCAACCAAGTGAGAGAGCCTGACCATCCGATCCCGTAAGTTGCCTCTTACGACAAGCATGGGTTACTGAAGATCAATTCTACCCCGCATCTTCACGGGTATGTGACGTAAAACCGACTGGTAGGAAAATATTCTGTAAAATCAAACGTTATACAATGTACTTGGGATTACACTTTCTCCCATGGCCGAACGCTATTAATACACAATGCTTTCTAGAATTAGTTAGATCGCAGAGTTGGTTTGATCGCTGGCTTTAGTTTTGTGTGCCTCACTCTGGGTTTGAATCCCGGATGGGACTCAGCCACCAAAATTACTAGAATTCGTACTTTACTAAAAAGCGTAATCCAACAGGTAACGCTTGTTACATGTGATCACTTGTTAGGAATAAGATATTCATGGGTATTCTGCTGTGAAGTTGTAAAAACTGATTGGTCAGTTTCAATTACCAATTCTGTAGACGACACGTACCTCCAGCCACATCAAAGGTGAGGTGAGGTGAAATTGGGTTTAACGTCGTACTTGAGAATATTTCGCTCATATGACGACATGCATGCGTGTGTATACACAAGCTATGAATAACCCACTCAGACTCATGCACTGTTGACAGTCCTTGTTGTTTAATGCCGAGCGCCAGGAGGACCAACAAGTACCATATTTTAACGTCTTTGGTATGACGCGGTCGGGGATCGAACCCAACCTTAACTGCTCTATACACCACGGAGGCGGTCGCCACATCAAAGGCAATACTGATATACATAAAATAACTTCCTCCTCAATCTTTGACAGTTTTTGAAGTCCATTTATTTCTAAAAGCCACATGCAAATGTAACTGTATAAACGGCTATGGTTTCACTAAATGTTGCTCACAGATTTCCGATCACATACCAGTTTTAGCCACTTCTCTACAAAAAGCAGAATGAAAGGTTGATATCAGGAAGGATGTATAGATCAACGAAATTTAACACTAATTTTCCCTCCAGAGCGAGATCGGGCACCTGCTTGGATGCGGAAGCAGAAACAACATGACGCGGATGATCTTTGAGAAGCTGGTGGGAACGGGAGTGGTTTCCAAGTCGGACCCAGAGCTTTACGTGAGTAGACACGCGCTGATGAAGCACAATTGTCGGATGAAATTCAAATAATATAATTATAATGTAAATGCGGTTAGAATAAACGTTCAAAAGATATACTGTACACGATATCCTAAGAATGTTGCATTAAAAATTCTAAAAAGAAAACACAGTCGCAGGTTTTCTTCCGAAAAATCTTACATCATTCCTGTTATCCATTTCATGTCCATTGATAATGTCATTGAATCATAACGATCACATTTTGATTATGTTCACCATAACCAATGATTACGAAACATTATTTACGCCGCCTATTTTGGTTCTAAGTGTGTCTCAGGGGTTCAAAAATCCCATCGCCCGACGCCCGGGGCAAGTCAGTTTTCATTTCGGGCAATGAAATAATGGTATCTTACTTGTCCGTGGTCTACTAGATAATTTCCACTTATGGTTTCAAACTGCAAATAAACTTGGATTTAATTTCATATCTGCTCAAAATGTAGCTATTAAATTTCGCAATGATAATAAAGTAGAGTTATCTTTCTTTGCTATTTATCACTTTTCAATAAATAGTCCAGTAAACATTAACATCAAATACCATGTTGATTTATTCTTTCATAATTACATCATCATGATTATGTCATAAAATTAGGACAAGTGGAAAATTGGTCAGGACAAGTTACTTTCTTATAGTCACTTGCCCTGTGGCAAGTGACTTTTTAAAAAAATATTTACCCCCTGTGTTTGTACTTAAAAGCAACTTTCCAGTGATGACCTAAATAGTTAACCATCTGTATAGTTTACTGTGTATCGTGGGGACCTGCTGATCTGTAAACCCTTTACCTTCCTTACTAGGTAACTGACGAACTATTTGACGGGGTATCAGTGCGAATATACTACCCCCGGGCAGCCAAGAAGCCCCTCCCATGCCTCGTCTACTACCACGGAGGAGGCTTCGTCTGGATGAGCGTCAACTCCTACGATGGCGTGGCGGCTGTCTACGCTAAGGGAGCTAAAGTGGCGGTTGTGTCGGTGGAGTAAGTTGTTTTGGATTTATTAGATTTGTTGGTTGTTTAACGTGGCACCCAGCAATATTCCAGCTGTATGAGACCGCCTCGGTGATGTAGTGGTTAGAGCGTCCGACCGGAGAGCGGAAGGTCGCGGGTTCGATCCCCGGCCGCGTCATACCAAAAGACGTTAAAATATGGTACTTGTTGGTCCCTGCCTGGCGCTCGGCATTAATGGGTACAACAAGGACTGCTCGGCTCGGAGTCAGTATAATGTGTCTGAGTGGGGTATTCATGCTTCACTGCGGCATGGTATCTCAGTGGGCTAGCACTGTAAAACCAGCTGAAGTCTGGGCTAGTACAAGCAGCCGCACATACACATACACACGCATGCACGTCGTCATATGAGCGAAATATTCTCAAGTACGACGTTAAACCCAATTTCACCTCACCTCACCTCACCTCCAGCTGTATGACCCCGGTCTATGAATAATCGAGGTCAACCTATGTTACCTTGAGGGACAGTGACAGAATTTGCCGATGACGATGAAATGCACATGCCCATCTCACTTTTCAGGTATTTAGTTTGTTTTTTGAGCGTATTGTTCAACGCCGCCGTTATTTGTGAGTGAGTGAGTTTAGTTTTACGCCGCACTCAGCAATATTCCAGCTATATGGCGGCGGTCTGTAAATAATCGAGTCTGGACCAGACAATCCAGTGATCAACATCATGAGCATCGATCTACAGAAGATAGTGAGTAGCAAAAACGGTAAGATAGCATGGGCATCGATCTGTGTAATTGGGAACCGATGACATGTGTCAACCAAGCCAGCGAGCCTGACCACCCGATCCCGTTAGTCGCCTCTTACGACAAGCATGGGCCGGGTTACTGAAGGTTCATTCTAACCCGGACCTTCACGGGTGCCGCCATTTGTTTGACCCCGGTATGTTAAGTAATCAAGTCTGGACTAGGCAATCCAATGATCGACATAATGAGCATCGGTCTACACAAATGATAGAATGACAAGCATTAACCAATTTTAGCCTGACCACCCGATCCCGTTAGTGGCATTTCACGACAAGCAGGTGTTGCTGACGATCAGTTCTAACCAGGGTGGTTTACTCTGTACAACTTTGAATCATGTTTATATCAACGTGTGTTTAAGAACCCAGCTTCAGCATACCTGGTGTTGTAAACTATTATTGACACTGTCCATAATCTGTGATGGCGTTAGAACTGAGCCTGTGCCATAAAGTTTAGAACTCGTGGGTAGAATGCATAAATGTTCATGCATGGCCTTCGTACCTACTACCGTATCACGCTCCGGCACAGCGATGACTAACATAACATCACTGCCACAGGCTAGTTTGCATATCACGTGACCGGACTTTTCTCTTGTTTGTAAACAAACGCGCATATTCATAATAAGAAGAGACTGGACTCACGAAAGCTTTTCGGCGCTCTCTTCATAATGTTTTACATTGTTACATATATATTCTTGCACAACTGCGACAGTAAGGTCTATGACAGTACATATTTAGATATCAAACTGGCTGCATCGTTTGCTCTCCATCAGCTTCGATGACAGCATGTGGAGCCGTACAACCTATGTAAACAAAGGATCGCTACGCAAATCGAAATAGTGTTACATGTTTTTGGATATTTTCTCAGTGAAACTAAACCATTCTATTAAAGATGTTTAGTTAGGTGTGTAGACTCGTCAAAAATAAAAGAGTAAAAGAAATCTGTACATTATATTGAATGGACATTGCAAGATGTGACGAATCGTCACATTTTTTCTGGCCTGCGGCAGAGGTACTATGCTGGCTTGCCGCATGGAACTCTGGGTAGGAGAGTGCTACCGTATATGAACTGGAGTTGGCCTTGTGGTGAAAGTGTTCGCTTATCTCAACAAAGTCTTAGGTTCCATATACCCACATGGGTACGATGTGTGGAGCCAATATCTGGTTTCCTCTAGTTCTGATTTCGGGAATATTGCTCAGAACTGCTTAAACATACTAGTGTTGGGAATTGGTTCAAATCTCATAATTGATGATTGGGTCATTACTACCGATCAATCATCGAAAATAATTGGTTAGCGTCATTTATGAAATTTGTTAATGCACATAAAAATACGGAAAAAAACATGTAGTTCTTTTAGGGTTTTTTAAAAATTTCACATCTTTAAAGGATGACTAGTATGTTGGGAACATAAATTTCTTGGAATCTTTAAGATAAATTCAATCATGACTTGAAACGAGATTGCAGTGCTTACGAAATGTAACAGACAAAACCAACCATGTGAAAAATATTGTTAATGAAAACAAGTGTTCCAGAATTGTTTGTGTTCGATTATGAGAAATTATGATCGATTGCTTCGTGTTTGAGTCACTACGACCAATCTTCGATTATTTCAATTAATCGGACCACCACTAAAACATACTCACTCACTCACTCACTCTCACAATCCAAAGTAAACTAACATTGCTGACTGTACGGTTCTGGACCTTTGCTCATACTATCAACCACTGGTTTCCGACAAAGACATTTAACAATGAATATATTCTTCTGTTCAACAATGACACAACTGGGGCTACACGACATGAAACATCGATTTAAACATATTTTTTGTGGTGAACCTTTAAGTCAATGTATATGTCGACTTGTTTTCAACACATGCATTACCTTTATGTGACACAGTTTGCATGTATTCAAATCATCTGTTGACTCCAGATACCGCCTGGCGCCTGAATACCCCTACCCAATACCGTTTGAAGATTGTAGGAAGGCAACCATGTTCCTGCTGAAGAACGCTGATGACTTCGATATTGACCCAAGAAGGATAGCAATTGGGGGTATATACAGTCATATGTTTGATACTGTTATATCTGTTAACGATTGGTTATAGGCGTTTTTTCTCTGAACGTTTTTGTATTATTGAACCTTTGACAAAACCTTCTTGAAAATTGAATAGATACCATTCGGTTGGTATAAGGCATTTTTCTGTGAACGTTTTTGTATTATTGAACCTTTGACAAAACCGTCTTGAAAATTGAATAGATACAATTCGGTTGGTAAAAGGCCTTTTTCTGTGAACGTTTTTGTATTATTGAACTTTTGACAAAACCTTCTTGAAAATTGAATAGAATTCGGATTGTATTAGGCTTTTTTCTGTGAACGTTTTTGTATTATTGAACTTTTGACAAAACTTTCTTGAAAATTGAATAGATACCATTAGGATGGTAAAAGGCCTTTTTCTGTGAACGTTTTTGTATTATTGAACCTTTGACAAAACCTTCTTGAAAATTGAATAGATACCATTCGGTTGGTAAAAGGCTTTTTCTGGTAAAAGGCCTTGAATAGAATTCGGATGGTATAAGGCCTTTTTCTCTGAACGTTTTTGTATTATTGAACATTTGACAAAACCTTCTTGAAAATTGAATAGATACAATTCGGTTGGTAAAAGGCTTTTTTCTCTGTGAACGTTTTTGTATTATTGAACTTTTGACAAACCTTCTTGAAAACCGAATAGATACAATTCGTTAACACAGAACTGAAAGAGCCAGGAGAGATAAGAGCCAGATTAATTCTGTTATTTTACGTCATTAAAATGGCACCTATTTGAATGGTCACAATGAAGAGCAGCTGTTTTACAAGCAGTTATATAGAACAATATAATTTTCTAAATTTGTTGACATTGTACTTCGTGGCTTGTCTCTATAATTGCAATGTGAAATTGTCTCCACAACCATACATTACCGAGGACTTCATTAAACTACGTTTACAACGAAAACGGTTATAACCAACTGAAGTTTTATTGGTCCCGGTCACTTGTAAAGTTTACTCGAAATGAGTCTCGAAATATGGTTTTATTAATCAGTGGTATATAAGAACGTATGGTATGGAGTTACAACTTTTTTATTATTTACAACTCTTTCTGGGCTACTTCTTGCCCCTTTATCAGGTGAATAACAGAATATGATCACAAGCAACATATGTAGTACGTACAGAAGGCCAGTGAGATGGAATTAAAGAATGAGATGTACAGAGATCAAGGAAGTTAGTTGACCAAGGATCTCATTCTTTAATTCCATTCCACTGGTCTGCTGTACGTACTATTACAGTGCATATATATCTTCTTACATTTTCATATTTTTCATAAATTATTCTTCACAAAGGAAATCCGTATATGTGCAAGTCAATGTGCATAGTGTTCCTTGTCTATAGGGGCGGTGGGGTAGCCTAATGGTTAAAGCGTTGGCTCGTCACGCCGAAAACCCGGGTTCGAATCCCCACATGGGTACAATGTGTGAAGCCCATTTCTGGTGTCCCCGCCGTGATGTAGCTGGAATATTGCTGAAAGCGGCATAAAACCAAATTCAGTCAGTCAGTCAGTCCTTGTCTATAGCCCCGCATGTCAAGGGCAGCGGTAGTCAATTAGCAAACGCGTCCACGCCAACCTTAAACTAATTAATCAAAGATGAAGTTAGTGAGCTGTGTTGGTACCGGCCCTTCTTCTCGGGTACATCCCTTGGTCAAGCACAGATAAGTAGTCCCATCCCAGCAGGTGCATGTTTTACTTCCAAATAAGTCGTAATCGAAAATCAACTTTTGTTGAACAAGATCGAGACCATCATCATAATTATCATCCACTTTCTCCTGTCGTAAATGCCCTAGTCAGGCGCTGACAGATAGTTTGTTAACCGTGGCTACACCATAAAGAAAATCAAACCTTGTTTGGTAATCATCCTCTTACCACCTGCTCTGTGCAGTAAACTTTGTCAGCATAGGGTAGATAACGCATCTGGAAACTTTACCTTTAGAGAAATTTTATAATGTTAATCGAGTAGAGCTGTATGGTATAAAATCTTAGGTTTTTCCATCTCAGGCACACTTACTCGAATAAACCCAAGGAACTCACAGCTCTCACCCTTCTTGTTTACAGGGGGCGGTGGGGTAGCCTAATGGTTAAAGCGTTGGCTCGTCACGCCGAAGACCCGGGTTCGAATCCCCACATGGGTACAATGTGTGAAGCCCATTTCTGGTGTCCCCCGCCGTGATGTTGCTGGAATATTGCTAAAAGCGGCGTAAAACAAAACTCAGTCAGTCAGTCTTGTTTACAGGCTCGCTCCCAATAGCTAATTTCCGATATCGAGGCCTGACGGCACCTTTAGCATACCTAATGCTAAAGGTCGTCTAAATTGACTAAACACAAAACTGTCTTAGTACTATATATGTTGCGTGTGATCACATTCTTTCATTCACCTGATGAAGGGTTAAGTAGAAGCCAAGAAACTTCTTGTTGTAAATAATAGTGGTGTTCCGATTAATTGAAATAATCGAAGATTGGTTGCAGTGACCAAACGACCAAGCAATCGATCATGCTTTCTCATAATCGAACATAAACGATTTTGGAACTACTGTTTTAGTCTTTGAAAAACTTGACAATGGAACATCTCTTAGAAATTGTCAGAGTCTGAAAACGTATTTAATTCTTAGAAAACTCACTTCACTAACTGAACAGCCATGACTGAATATTTCTCTATGACTCCAGGAAGTTTATGTTCATGATATATTAGTCATCACTTTAAAGTAGCAAGTTGCATCATGTTATACATATCTGCAATAACAACCTGGATTGGAAAATCTCGCAAACAATTTTTTTTCGATGATTGTTCGTTGGTAATGAAGCAATCATCAATTGTGAGATTTCAACCAATCCCCAACACTAGTAAGTAATAAAGAATTTGTAAATGTGTACATGTTGTTACGTCACCTTCCAACTTCTAAATGCCCATCAAACATTATGATTCATCAGTGGTATCATTGGGTTCGGTATGACAGTAGTTTATACTAGTGTTGGGAATTGGTTAAAATCTCGTAATTGATGATTGGTTCATTACAACCGATCAATCATCGAAAATAATTGGTTAGCATCATTTATGAAATTTTCCTGGTTATTTTTGTTAATGCACAAAAAATAAAGAAAATACATGCAGTTCCTTGGGGTGATTTTTGCAAATTGCACATCTTTAAAGGATGACTAGTATGTTAGGAACATAAATTTCTTGTCGTCTTTAAAATAAATTCAGTTGTGACTTGGAACGAGCATGTCGTGTTCATGAAATGTAACAGACAAAACCAACCGTGTGAAAAATATTGTTAATGCAAAAAGTGTTCCAGAATTGTTTGTGTTCGATTATGAGAAAACATGATCGATTGCTTGGTCGTTTAGTCATTGCGACCAATCTTCGATTTTTTTCAATTAATCGGACCACCACTAGTTTATACTATATTGTACACTTGACATGTGAACCTTTGACCTGAATGAACAATAATCGGTGTACGTTCTTCCGTTTCACCAGGGGATAGTTCCGGTGGAAACATCGCTGCTGCTATGGCCGTCAAGTTCAGGGATGACCAAGTGCTTCCGAGAATACGGCGACAGATTCTCATATATCCTATGTTGCAGTTCTGTGACGCTCGACTTCCGGTTCACGTGGAGCAGAGAGAATTTAGTCCCTACTACGCCCAACAGATGGCGTTTATATTCGGCATGTATGTCAACTTGACCATCGATCAGTTGTCGCTAATGGCAACCGGGAATTTTTCAACCAAATCTTTAAGAGAAAAATGCAAGAGATATGTAGATTATAAATTATTACCACACCACATGGTACCACGTGATTACAAACGACGTGACGTCATAGCACCAGCAAACAATCCATATGCTCAAGATATTGAAAAGCTGGTGTCGGACCCCAAAATAGCTCCTCTTATGACTGAGGATTTGTCAGAGCTTCCTCCGGCCTTCATCCTAACAGTGAAAGTAGATGGATTGCGTGATGAAGGGATAATTTATGCAAGGAGACTGGAGCAGGCAGGTGTTCGAGTGAAATGGATGCATTTACCAGACACCTTTCATGGAGTGCTCAATTTCTATCGAGGGATATTTGGTTTTGATGCTGCTCAACGAGGTCAACGGTACATCACTGAATACTTATCTAAAAATATTTAATGTATTTAACCCAGATTTAACGCTAGTGGACCAATGCCATAAGTTTCAGATCTTTTACTTTGATATGATGCCTGGCGGCGTGATAGCCTGGGAACACCTCTGTGATTACGTCAGGTGAACATTTTAATCAGCCATACAGCATCGGGAACGGTAAGATACGTTAGGGATGACAGCTTCTTTATTGTATATCAAAAGACGTTGTCATCTGTGAAGTATCTTACCGTTCTTGCTACTCACTATCTTCTGTAGATCGATGCTCATGATGTTGATCACTGGATTGTCTGGTCCAGCCTCGATTATTTACAGACCGCCGCCATATAGCTGGAATATTGCTGAGGGCCGGACTAGTCAGGCGATGGGGCAGCCTGTTGGTCAGAGCGTTCGTTTGTAACGCCAGGAACTTAAAGAAATATTTAAAAACAGAACTTACCAAAATATCCTTGATAGCTATGATCTAGTTGGGACAGAAGGAAAGAATTATCGAGATTGTTTCCCAGACAGACAATTGCACTGAGTTGTGTAATCGTCAGACATGCAGATGCCCTTCGCAGTCTGATGTCTCTAATAGAACTATTCATTAATTGATATTGATGTTGAGTGTTGATAATGGATGGCCTGAGTGATTTCTTGTGTATATGTATACAGTATGGCTGATGACAGTATGAAGCAAGTTCGTGCACCTTGTATTTCTGCCCGAATGGCTGAGACTCACTAGCCCTAAGAATTCTTAACTTTGATCGTAGCCAATGTGTTAATATTGTATATTATGAATTTGTGTAACTACTTATTAAACATTATATGACACACATATCATAATTTATACGTAGATACTTATGCACAGTGTTGTTGGTTGTTATACTTTACATGTATGTTACATATACACTCTTTATTATTTATTATTTTTGTATAATATTTTATGCACATTTTATCGTGTTGTAACTACTGGAGAACGTGATAGAGTGCAATAATTCCAGTCCAGTTCGTTTTATACATACATACTGATGCGATCTATGTAAGAATGAAAGATAATAAAATCATACATTCACACGTGTTTTTCTTTATTCTAATTCAACTCAGTATGTAACACGCATACGATCGCAATTTGCAAACCGATTCACCAAAACCTTTGAATGTATCCCTACACTATAGGGTTAACGATGTTTTTTCAGGGCCCGGTAGTTCAAAACTCGGTTATCTTTTAACCAGCCGTTAAGTACATTTAACCGACCGTTACCTAATAACAGAGGGTTATCTTGTTGTTCAAAACTCTGTTAACTTTAAACAGGTTGTTAACGTGACGTTAAGTTAACATACCTAAGGACCGCCGCTAACTTTTTAACAGTGTGGTTAACTCGCAAATGGCGTTCATGGCTAACACTGCTTTCATGAGGCCAGTTCAGCAAAGAAAGGATAGGGTGTATCATGGCCTGGACTTCCATACTGGAAATTATTCTGACGAAGAGTTACATACGAAACTGTATCTATGCACTTCATAGGAACTAAAATACATGTTGTACAAGAACATGATGCCTACGTTTCATCTTTTAACACTTGTGTAAAGGTTTATATATGTTTTACTACACTAAATGTGTGAATTTCTTCTGTAAATATTATTCAAACAAACATTTTCAAAGAATCAAACACGTACACCCTATACCCACGTATGATATGATATTGAACAAGACTAAATGTAGATAATTAAATTAGTTTCATGAAAGAATAAATGTGAGTGATTACATTATGATACTGAAAGTAATCGGCGGGATATGGTGATTGTGTATATTCTAATTCTACCGACCTTCACCTCAGAGAAATTGCCAAATATGTACAACAATGTTGACGCATGACATCACTACCGCTGAGATTTCTTTAAAAAATGGCGGCTGACATGGGTTTTGCGAGGACCCTTCCCTTGATTCAGGGATCGTTTGTACATAAATATGAGATGTAAGTAATCAGAATGATTCTGACTATCTGTGTATTGTTACATGCTTTTATCGTTTTCATTTTAAGAAAGAGAAGAAGCGGCCAGAAATGCCGATTATTACCGTTGTCGTTCTGCGTGATTTTGCGTCAGTCATGGCGTCACGCTGCACAGAAACTTGACAGTTTCGTATAAACATATCACATTCCTGTATTGTATCTATTTTTAATTTCCTATTTCTTGCTACTATGCTCTTTCCATGCAATTGGGTGTCTGAAAATTTGAGAAAATGCTACACAGTATAAAGTCTGAAATTTTCTTTGTTTACATTTCAAACAGGTGTTGTCTTTCGAGCACAGCATTTGTTTCCACCTCCAATATCTTTCACCATTACATACATTCCTCGTTATAACAACGAACGTTTCGTTCCTGCTGCTACTGTAACTTAACTACTCACTGCTCATGCACAGATAAATTACAGTCATTAAAACTATGCTCCATTAATCGGACAATACCAATGATGTAAAAAACCCGTGAATTTCCGGGTTAGAATATTGATCTTCAGTAACCCATGCTTGTCGTAATAGGCGACTAACGGGATCGGGTGGTCAGACTCGCTGACTTGGTTGACACATGTCATCGTATCCCAATTGCACACATCGATGCTCATGTTGTTGATCACTGGATTGTCTCGTCCAGACTCGATTATTTACAGACCGCCGCCATATAGCTGGAATATTGCTGAGTGCGGCGTAAAACTAAACTCACTCACTCACTCACTCAATGATGTAAAAGACAAGCTATTGTCTGCCCTTGTCATTACAGAGCTCTCTCCCTTTCCGGGTACCCGATTCCTAGAAATAGGACTCGATTCCAGCTGTACACGACCCGGATTCGAGTACCGTAGTACCCGTCCCAGCCTTAGAATTCAGTGATGCATTTGTCGCTGCTGAATATGAAATATATGTGATGTAATTGGCGTCTCAATACCGGCCTTCGCGAAACGTTGTGAGTTGTGAGTGATATGCAGGCCCACTTCGTAGTCACTTTGATTAAATGTTATATTTGAATATCGAAATCTTTTTGTGACAGCGAACACAACACTATCTCTTGTCCTTTTACACGATAATGTTTGGAAATTTAAACTTTAATTTAAATTACTACAGCGTCCTATAAGACACTTATGAAATATGATACATGTTTTCCGACCTTGAAGTCATTAAAAAGAATTATGCATTTTCTGCAGTCACTTGTGAATTGAACTAACTGAAGGTTCATCTGATTAATGAGTATCGAGGAAATTATGTTCGTCTATAAATTAGACGCAGCTTCATGTTTTTCAAGACATCTTTCCTGAATATGCGTCTGTGAAGGCGTTCAGATAATGACGATATTGCACAGTTTTATTCATGAGACTCCTGTCAACAGTAAGGTCGAATAATAGATCAATTTTATCCAGCAGTGTTGGCCCTGGGGCCTATAGTACAATTACAGTTTGATTACTTTCACGTGGTGCTAGTAACATATTTAGTTTCTATTGGCACTGAATGCATATTTCAGATAAAAGCTAATGGTATTATTGTCACAACACCTATATTGTTTGATGTTAAAAGATTTGGCAATGTGTGTTCATACATTACAAGTTTTGACAGACTTGGCAAATAATTAATAAATGATATTGATAGCATCTTAATGACTTGGCCATACAGTTATGACAATTTAAGGAGTGAAAAGTGAGCGATAGGTTTTGTGGGAGTTCAAAGATTCATTAAGACTGTAGCCGTCTAAGCGTAACTCCTGTGTGTAATATTTGTAAATATTCTATCCACGGACAACATGCTTCTACTATTAATATTACATGTATTTTCATGGATTCATCATATGTTATCTATAGCTGTGCTATAGTTTCTCATTAAAATGTCTTTTCTGTTGTCGGAATTGAAGTAAGTCCCACACAGAGCTGGGATCATATGTCTTTGAAATATATATGCAAACGTCTGGAACCTTGTGTTCCAATACAAGCGTTCGTAGCGCTACGACATTCGCATGCCTATGATAAACTATAGAGTTGGTCTCAATCATTGACTGGATTACATTCTCTTCGTCACCATTTTTGGTAAACCGGAAGTAAACAGAAAACTCGCAACGAGCTGTTGACCCAACACGGTTAGATCATGGAACGTCATTTGACAACAGAACTGATAATGGCCCGTCGGGATTCAGCAGGCCATTATCATTATCATAGCTGTTAAGTAGAAGGCGGTTTCATAATAATTCCAACCATTTTAGCTTTAACCCCTGGGTGCCAGAGAGACATATACACTACACGCCAAAAGAAACGTTGCCCTCCTACCTTTATGAATTACTGAAAAACTATCAAAGATATGTTAGAAGGTATTAGTTTACAAGAAAGCTTAACAACACAGCTTTATCCAAATCACGAAAAAACATACTTAAAAGCATTTATAAGTAGGTGAAATGCATCCTTTTCGGAAGAGTTAGATTGTCCTATTTTCGTTCATACCGAAATAAACCAACAACTGTGATTTAGATGTCCAACAGAAAGGTTGTAATATAAAATTTTGCTTTGAGACAAAGATCAACAATTTAAGACACCATTTTTTAAATATTAAAACTAGAAACAACTGTTGTAGAGTGTGTAAAATTGTAGTCCAGTCTTTTAAAACATTTTCTGCTGATTTGCATGAGTGAAAACAAATAAAACGTGTCTTTGGTATTGTGAAAAAGTGTTTAGGAACATCTTAAATTATCTTTGTTAACAATTTTGCTTGCAAAGTATCATTTTTCCATTTTCTGTGTACACATAGCAATATCAATCGCCAAAACGCAGCAATATTCAAGCAGCATTTGCCTCCATTTCACATGTGGAATGATTCTATAAGGTATGAAGAGAGCTTAGAATACATGATATGATACACAAGTACGAGAAATATGCCACGATTAACAGCTGAAGAGACAGAAAGTAGCCATTGGGATGGTGCAGATGGGGTCCACGTACTATGCTGTTGCCAACGCCCTCGGATGCCACAGCATCCCGGTTATAAAATGAGACTTATTCAGGGCTTCAGTCAGACTGGGATCACCGTAGACAGACCAAGAAGTGGCCGTCCACGCGGTGTCCTCTCACTTAGCCAGATTCTGATACAAACAGGTCTCTCACATAGCCAGAGTAGGATTTGGCTGACAAGGATTAGTGTTTTGATAACACTTAATCCAGATGAGCCATAGTTTGTTTCAACAAAATGTTCAATTGGTGAGGTTAGTGAAATTTGTATTAAGTGAGATACATTGATATGGTATTATTTGAATTCTTTTGGAGGATTTCAGGAAATGCTCACTTAGTGAAATTAGTGAAATGATTTTAACTAGTCCAAGATTATGTATGCGAAAATATTTATTATTCCGAGCACAAACATTTAGGCCTCTGAATTAAAAGAGACGCAAATTGGACTGACTGCACAAATAAATTCTGTACTTGATAAAGTTTCAGCAATGATAGATTGTTGAAGGAGTTACAAATACCGATTATCAAGAAAAATTATTTTTACTCAGTACTATTGAACTTTGGAATTCTTTGCTAGAAGAACACAGACTTATACAATCACCAAGTGAATTCAAGAATAAGATTACATCATGTTGTAATACTTCATTTGGGTTTGATATCAACATTGCAAACAGGTTCCGTCAAATTCTTCACTGCAGACTCCTATTAGAATGCAGGGATTTAAATGCCCATGAAGTAAGTAGATTTATATCAAACATGGA